TTCTTGGTATGTACTTTAGAAATAATATTTGAAAAAGTTAATTATTAAATTTTACCAATTAATAAATTTTTAAAATAACGTCAATGAAGTTCAAAACGTTTATGATCTTTAAATTTAGAAGAAAAAAAAATTTTTTTCGTTATAATTATTATTACGTTTCTCTATCAAAAATTGAAAAAAAAATTTATAGGCAAATTTTATTTTCCTGTTGAAAAATTAACTTTTTTTCCAATCGTTGATCATAAAAATGTTGTGAACATCACCGACGTAAAAAATATAAAAATTAGTTTTCTTATTTAACTTTTGTATCTTTATATTTAAAAAAAAAAGATAACTAATTTTTTCTCTGAATTTTTATATTTTAAAATTTGTTTTAATTATTTAAATTTTTAAAAAATTAATTAATTAATTTAATATTTAGTGTAAACAACCTGAAGGGCAGCAAGAAGTATGAAAAAGGATAAACAAAAAATGTCCGGATTTTCCAAAATAGTTTTTCTTAATATATCCGGCACGATATTTTCTTCAGAAATGGCACCAAAAAAATCTCAATCCATTCACGAAATGATTCCTTTAACATTAAATTCAGGTGAGTTATTTTTTATTTTTAACCCCGCATAGAATTCTGTATAAAAATTTTCACGTAATAATTTTTCTCAACGATATTTTTCTAGAATAATAACTGACTTTTTTTTTCTATTTCCCCCAAGGAATTTGTCAGCATAATCTTTTTTATTCCAATAGAATTGTTTCATAACTCTACAAATATTTAATTAGAGAAACTTTGCTGAATTAAATTGACAGGAAATTGAAATCAATAACAAAAAATACAAAAAAATATAAAGATATTTATTAAATCGTTACTTGAGTTAAATAAGTAGGAAAAAAAATGTTTATTAATTTTTTTGCGGGGTGCGTTTTTCTAGTTTTTTTTTTTTTTCATAACGAAATTTGTCAGTGACTCGAAGAGACGCATCAAAAGCACACCCGCAACTTCGCGTTCTCATGTTTATCGCATCACGAATATTGCCGCAAGAAATGTTTCTGTTTGCGTAATATATATCTACGTTTTTGCAATACTGTGGTGTACCATCAACATTCAACTAAACTGGTCCTCTTCATCTTTATTATTCACACAATTTTAATTAAGACTATTCTCTTATTCAAATAACATGAAAAATTCATCATAAACTCTATCAAAATGTTTGAAAACCACAATAATTTCAAAAGTAATTTCTATTTTTAGGTATTTTATTTTTTTTTTTAAATTATATATCCAAATCAATGGAATTTTACTGATGAAATATTAGTGGAAACTTTCAGTGAATTGTTATAAAGAATATCAAATTTTCAACATTCTAAATTTTGTTATAATTACGTCGATGAAATTCACGTTTATGATTTAGAAGAAACAATATTTTTTCCTTATAATTTTTGTCGAAAAAAATTATTTTGGTAACGTTTCTCGATTAATAATTTCAAAAAAAAAAAATTGTAGACAAAAAATTTTATTTTTCCGTCGAAAAATATTTTTTTTCTCAACAATTGATTATAAATTTTTGTGAGCTTCACCGACGTTTAGAATAATTATATTTCGAATAGAATCAAGAAGAACAAATTTCGTTTGGGTTAAAATAGAATTTTTTTTTAAATACTTTGAAATTAAAACTCTTCTTCTTTACATTCGAATTACGATAAAAGTAGAAAGGATTGAGGTACACTTTTTCTAAAAAATATTTTCTAATTTTTCTTTTTCTAATAAAGTTCAAATTAAAATTATTTTTTTTCTAATAAAATTCAATTTCTAAAATTTTATTTTCTAATAAATTTGAATTTCTACAAATGAATTTAAATTTCTAAAGAAATTCAATTGTTTTTTTTTATCCAAATCAAAATCATTTAAAAAATTTTTAAATGACAAATAATAAAATGTGAATTCAAATCAAAATTAGTTTGAGGAACTAATAAAAAGTCAAAAAAGAAATTTTGATGGATTTTTATATAATTTTCATTAGAAAAGGCTTTTTTTTAAAAAAAAGGATTAGAAAATATTCTTTTGAAAAAGGTGACCACCTGTAGGAACATAATTTTTGGATTTTTCAAATGGAGGACAAGATTTTTTTCTTCTAGCTCAAAAAAAATTCTATATTGAAAGAAAAAAAAAATAATAATAATAATCAACAATGACAAATAATAAAATGTGAAAAACGGTTTTTAATGTCAATGACCGTAAATTTGAAATGGTGGTAATGGTAGCCTTCCACCTTCTATCAGTGTGTCGTAAGAAAACGGGATTATGAGGCTTGTAACACGAGACTGTTGTTAGTCACGGCACGGTAATATTATTACGTGTATTTACTGATTGTGTATTCATAAGTTTCGCGACACATAATTCTCGCACTCGTCTCAATGGACAGATGACTTTCGCCCGGATGTGAACAGACAGTGATGTTGCCACTCTTCTCTTATATTATAAATACCTCTTGATCAAATTTATCAATTTCTTTCTAATAGTCCTTTCCCTTTTTTCATTTTCATTTATTATTTAAACGAACCAAATTTTAACAAATATAATGTACCAATTGAATCGATATTTTTGTATTTCCAAATTTTTATTTAATTCAAATTTTCATTTAATGTATACGTTTATCTATTTATTTAGCTGAATTTTTAAACGACAGAATCTTTATACAACTAAAATTCCAACATTCTTGTGTGTAAGGAAATTTTAGCAAAAGTTTCAAAAGTCAAATTTTTTATTAAATATCGAATCATTTTTTATTAATAAAATTTGTATGTAACCGAATTTTTACTTCACAAAATTTCTACATAGCTAAAATTATTTTCTAATTAAATTTAATATTTTCATTTAATTTAATTTTTATTTAGCAAATTTTTGTTTGTTTAACAATCATTCGCATTCAATCAAATTTCTGCTTAGTTGAATTTTTAATTGGAATTAGTTTACATTTTATTGATTCTCCATTTGTTTGAATTTACAATGAAAATTCTACTAAATAAAAATTTAGTTTAATTTTATAAAAATTTTGTTAAATAAAAGTTTAATAATTAAAATTCTGTTAAGTGGAAAATCTGTTAAATGTAAATTCCTTTGCATATAAATTTTCAAAATTTCGAGTAACTATAGAAAATCTAAATAAACTAAAAAAAACTATTTATATGAAAATCGGACTAAACAAATTTTTGTTAAATAAAAATTCGCTGAATTAAAAATTCTAAAAAAATAAAATTCAGTTAAATTTTTGCTTAATATGGAAGTTAAAAAATTTTTTAACTAAAAAAATGTTTTTTTATAATTTTTTGATCAATAAACATATAGGAAGAAATATCTTTAAGACAAAAATTCATAGAATTTTTTATGCAAAAAAATATTTCTTTAAAAATTGTTTATCATAAACTTGAACTTCAGCATCGTGTGGACGTCCTTCTGAAGAGTTCCTTCAGTTGGGCGCGGGCCTCAAACCAACTAAATAAATTAAGGAAAAGTGCATAATTATGTATAAAAATGTACATAAAAGTCCGTAATTTTTATTAAAAGTCCACAAATATGGCATCGTTTTTGCAATATTATAAATATATATATAATAATAGTATAAAAATAATAATAAAAAATTTTTAATGTCATTGTTTCAAAATGTTGCCTAAAAGGTTATAAAAAATTTGTTCAAGAAAATAGAGACGCATGATTAAACCCCAAATTTGTTTTTTCGAATTTTTATTTTCTCGAAAATCGTTTTATCTAAAAGGAATTGACTATAATTTTTTTAATTCAAATCTTCAGATTATATATAATAAAAATACTTTCTAATTATTATTTGACATAATTTTTTAACTTCAAAAGAACATTTTTTTATAATTTTCAATTTACCAAATAATCATTTCTCATAATTATTATTGTAGCGAATTAGTATTTTTCATCATTTTTCCAAAATTTTTCCAAAAACCTGTTCATACTATTTTTAATTTGACATAATTACCATTTTTTATAATTTTTTTTTTCTTTGAATTACCATTTTTTATAATAAATATTTTTTCGAACAATTATTTGTTCTAAAATGTAATTTGCCAAATTTTTACTTTTTCTATTTTTAAAAGTTATTATTTCTTTTTACCCAATTTTTTATTTAAAAGAATTCTAATTTAATCGAATTTTAATTTAGCATAATTCTCATTAAACTGAATTTTTAAATGTCAAAATTTCTTATTCACCGAAACTACATTTGTTCGTATTTTTATTTGCACAAATTCTTATTTGATATAATTCTGAAGACGACGAATCTTTATTTGTCCGAAATTCCAAATTACCGAACAAACAATCAACAGAAAGATTTCGGCGCAATTTTCAAAAATTGACCAATCACGATATTCTTGATAATTTCTAATTGGTCAATTTTTGATTGTTTATTCGAACATTTAAAAATTCTTTCAATTAAAAATTCGGTGAATTGAAATTTGTCATTTAAAAATTTAATTGAATTGAAAATTCTAGTATTAAAAAATTCGAAGCAATTAAAATTCTATTAAATGAGAATTCTGTTAAATTAAAATTTGGTTAAATTAGAATTCTTTTAATTAAAAAATTGTGTAATGAAATTCTGTAAATTAAAAATTCTACAAAATAAAAATTTGCTTAAAAAAAAATTCTGTCAAAAATGATAATTTGGAAAATGAAAATTCTTTCAAAAAATAATTATATCTAACGGATTTTGTTGAAAATTTTAAATATGGGATAATCATGCGCACCATAAAAAATTTTGCTAAATGAAAATTCAATAATTTTTAATTATGACATAACAAAAATTCCAATAAATCTAATGTTGATATTCACGAGTCCCGTTCCACAATAGATGAAAATTCTAATACCTTATAAAATTCGGCAATATAGAAAATCAGTATCATAAAATTCGATATACTAAAAATTCAAATAAATACATTTTATTGAATATTTATGCGTCTCCTTTTTCCACAAATATAGTCGAATTAAATTTGCTCACATAAAATGTTTAATTTAATAAAATTTCTAACGGTATATAGTAAAAGTGTGATAAAACTGCATATATATATAGTATAGAGATTCAAGAGAGTGTGGACAGGACATCAACGTATATTATAAGATAAAACCGGCTGTTGCGTGAATGGGTAATTGTTTATAATTGGCGTGCGATGAGGTTAAGTTGCTATACCGCGAAGAAGGCGGTTTCTAGGTTGGACACCTCTTGGTTTCTGTTTGAAGAGAAAAAAATACGGCCTGTATAGCAGTCGAGCCATGACAGAATAGAGAGCACATATGTATAACCATCAGCATTAAGCTGGAGCCTTGTTGCATTCTATATACATTTTTACGTATAGCTGCGATCAATGACGGGATGAGTATGCAGAAAACATGTGGAAAAAAAACAGGAAAAAAAAATTTCTATCAATACACACGAACATGGCAATGGAAATAAAAGGTAAAAAGTTAGAAACACATATTGAAATGATCGTATTGTATATATATATATATATTTAAACTCGTAGCCACGCTATTAATATGCCTTTTCCATAACGCATTTAATGTCATATTTAAATATTTCTCTAAATCTTGAAAATTTATTATGTCACATTTCCTGATGATTTAATTAACGTTTAGCGCAACTCAATTTTTATAGTTTTCAAAGTATATTTCAATGCGGGAAACATGCTTGATGTATTATATAAATTCAATGCATTATAAAATTTTGATCTATACATTCGAAAGTTTTTTTTTCTTTTTTTTTTTTAGATATTAAAACGTAAGCTTTTATATCGAATATATTTTGTAATTGTAACGCGACAAGAATTGTGACCTTTTAAAAGTATATATATAAAATATGATTAAATAAAAAGTTTGTGATGGTTCTTTATAAATAGACAGGTTTTAAAATCAACACACTTTCATTTTCGAAGATTATAACTTTCCCATTTCGTTAATTCAATAATATTTTTTAAAAAATTATTTTTAAAATTACTTCATTTAAATTATTATTATTATTATTATTAATTTTTATTTCATGAAAAATTTCAATTTAAACATTCAAAAAATTTAAGTTATTGAATTGGCTTGAAGCTTTTGTAAATTGTTGCCCTATTACACTCAGAAAAAAAAATGACACAATCATATTTTTTCTTCAATCTCTAAATATTGATTAAAATAAACCAAACTTTTGTTTTTCAAAATTTGATAAATTCATTTAAAAAATTTATTTTTCAAATATAATTTCTATGCATATAATTCGATATATTATGGATAAAAAATCATGTTTAAAAATGGATTTATCAGGTTTTTAAAAATTGCTCCATTAAATTCAATAATTATATTTATTTCAGGTCTCGGATTATACGAATTTTTCGACTTTTTCTAACTTTTTTTTCGAAAATGCGACTTTTTTCGACTTACTTAAATAAGATGCGACTTTTTCGTTTTTTTTTTTTTACAAAATTTTTAAACAATATACGTCTTTTTTAGTATACAATGCAGATCTTCTTTATTTCAATTATTTAACAAGCTTTTAACTTTTAACTAAAATTTTTCTCTATAAATTAATTATTTTTAATAACTTTAATAAAATTCTTTACAAATTAAATTATTTAAAATTATTTTTCAATCAAAAGTTTTATGAAATTCGACAATTGTTTACGCAATTTAAAAAATTATCAAAAATTTCAATTTAAAATTTTTTTAAATTTTCCATCTAAAACTTTTTGAAATTTAATAATTTCAATATTATAATTCTTTCGAAATTTAATTATTTTTAATGGTTTTTATAATATTCTTCAAAAATTCAATTATCTAAAAGTATGTTTTAATTAAAACATTTTTAAATTCAATTTTTGTCTGTAATTTCTAATAAATTCTTCATCACCAAAAATATCAATTAAAAAATACTTGAAATTTAATAATTAATTTCAAAAATCTAAATTATAAATCTTTAAAAATTCAATTATTTAAAAAAGTTTTAAATAAAAACTCTAAAATTGAATTGTTGTCAGAATTTTTTTTTTTTTAGAAATTGGCCCTACTCAATTAAAATTTTAAAAAAAATTGAATTCTTCGATTCTGAAATATTGGAAATAAATTTTCTTGATAATATTCCTATAGAATTATTCTTATTAAGGAATTAATAAAATGGATTTAATATTTAATAACATGAATTATTTAAAGTAAAATATTTATTAACTAATTAAATTTAATTAAAATAAAAAAAATCGACTTTTTTTTAATGTAAATCGACTAAAACGATTTTTTTACGCCTTAAAGTCGATCCAAAGCCTTTTATTTGAATCAAACAAATTTTGTTTTTTAATAACCAAAAAATTGTGTTCATAGAAAAAAAATGATATTTTTGGTTCAATTTTTTGTTTTAAGAAAATTCAACCCCTTTTTTCAAAATTAAATATTATTTTTCCCTTTTTGTTCCAATTATATGTTATTTATTTTTTTCTTATCTTCATTAAAAAACTAAAAAAATTTTCCTATAAAACATGGCTTAAAAAAAATTGTAACAAAAATCGGTTTTCGAGAAATTATAAAGAAAAACGGAAATAAAAAAACAAGAAAAAAAATTTCCAACTTGATTGAAACTAAAAAATAATATTTAATTTGTAAAGAAAAATTTACCCTTAAAAAATACATGAAAACTATTTTAAAATTCACAATATAAAAGTTAAAATCCATATAGTAATTTTTAATTTTCAACTGCGTTACGTTTGAGTTTATACGTTTAAGTCTATACTCGTAAAAATTAATTATCCTTGAATTATTTTTTTGTTATTCATTATTATATTTATTTTTTGTATTTATTTTTAAATTTATTTTTTATTAAATTTATATACAGTTAGAGAAATATTAATATATTTGAAAAATTGTATATATGCCGTGTCCAGTGTTGTTATCATAAATCTCTTTCATGAGGCAACAGACAGAAGGTACTGGCCATGAGAGAGTAACATCTTTGCACAATGTGAACACAAGCACCTACGCCATGCATTATATATATACAACATAAATATATTCATGTCTGATAATCAGACTGATAGATGAGAAAATGTTTTGTTCCATACTAATACAAGCATTAATTTTATTATTAGTATTATATAGAAGCAGAATCTCGGAAATGCAAATCTCATCATCAGTTTCATGAGTAGAGGGAATAATGTGACTTATTCTAAATAAACACGTCAAGAAAAATAAATTTTTATATATATATATATATTCCAAAGGGAAAAAATTTAATTTAATTTTTAATTAATTTTAACTTTTTTTGTAACTTTTTTTATAGATCTGAAATTTAAATCATTTTCTACAAGACACAAATTATTCGATGGCAAACGAAAAGAAAAAAAAAACGTTTGGCCTACAACTCAAATAAAATTAACTGAGAATTTATATGTTAACGACGACGTAATTCTCGTGTTACATTTAACCGCGAAAAAAAAAATTAGAAAAAAAACAGTGACGAGTTTAGAAAATGCAAAACGATGAATCGTAAACTCAAGTTTATTTAATTGCCTGTTAATTATAAAGTCTTATTGAAAAAGTGTGAACAAGTTATTAAAAAAATTTCTAAATTTTTTTCTAATTAATTGTTATCATTCCACTCGTAATTTTTCCACTTAGAAAATTATTTTTGATTTTGTCGTAATAATTTCTATTTTTTTGCTTAAAAAAAGAAAAATCTGAATATTATTATTAATATTATTTTATTTACTAAAGAAACATTGTCGATTTAATTAAATTAAATTTTGAAATACTAAAACGTAGAATTTTCCAATGAACAAAACAATAATAATTCATTAATTACTTTTTTCTTGACTCATTAAATTTCTATAATAATTACAAAATTATCAATAATTTACGAACGATAAATTAATCCTCGTGTATTTTGTGCGCTTATATATATATATATATATATTTCCTGAACGCAAAATATATTATCAATTTCTAGACCGAGTAGTTATAATTTTGCTGAATTAAACCAACGAAATTCCCAGGTGATTCCGAGAGCTTCTCGCGCGCGCGCTATATCCAAACTTGTTATAATGAACAACTTTTCATTGAGAAGAGAAAACTTTTGTATAAAGAACAAAGACATAAATTTCTGTTTCGGCAAACGTTTCAATTAAAACTTTCAATTCCCATAAGTCTTCGTATATAAAAGATAATAAAAATGATAAACATTTTCAAAAGCATCACTGTAAATAATAATTCATTATTTATTATACATCTTATTACACTATAGATTTTGTGTAATAATTTTTAATTTTCAATTTTCATTTATTAATTATATAACTTAATATTGGGAATATTGAATATAATTAGAATAATCAAAACTACTACAATGATAATTATTATTAATTATTGTTTGATTAATTAATACATAATTAATAAAAATATATATTATAAATAAGGTACCAATAATATTAATATTACAATAAATATAATTAAAATTTACCTTAGTTTGTTTTTAAAAATTTTCATTTGATAGTTTCATCAGAATTTTTTTTTTTAGTCAAAAAATTTGTTTTGAATTATTATTTGACAGAATTATCATTTAATCGAACATTCATTTGACAAACTTGCAATTGATTAAATTTTCAGTTATCAGAATTTTCATCTGCTCAAATTTTTATTTAAACAGAATAACCAATTTAGATCAATTTTCACAATTTTTTAATTTTATTTATTTTATATTTTTATTTTAAAGAATTTTATAGATATAATTATTTTTTTCACCTAACAAAATTTTTAGGTACCGGATGTTTATAAAACAGATTTTTTATTTTATAAAATTTCTCTTTACCGAATTTTTATTTGACAGAATTTTTAAAATTATTTTGTGGCGCATGATTATTCTCAAATTTTAGTTTATCATAATTTTTGTTTTTATCGAATTTCAAACTGTATAATAAAAATTTGTACGAATATCAATCTTGCGAATTTCATTTGAACATAATTTATTTTACCTCGAATAAATATTTAACCGAATTTATTTTTATACGATTTTCTAATGATCATAAACATAAATTAGAATAATTTTTATTTTTCAAAATCGAAACTATCATTTTAATTTATTAGAATATATTTATATTATAATTTCAATTAAATCGAATTATTTATAATTATAATTTCATAGAATTCTAAAGTGTCATAAATTTAAAACAGCGAAATATTATTTTTTAGAAATTTTTTTTTTCTTAAATTTTATTTATCACAATTTTAATTAGATCGAATTATTTTTTATGTATATCTTTTTATTTTACCGACTTGCAATATGTTCGAATTTTTATTTCATTGTATATAAATTTCATAGATTTTTTATTCCATTAGAATATTGTTTTTCTTACGGATTTCATTTTCATCGAATTTTTATGCAACATAACCATCACATGATTTTCCTCGGACAAAATAAACTAAATTCTTATTCTAATTTTTATTTGATATAATTCTTAAAAATTTCAATAAGAATTTAACAAGAAAATTGTGATTGATTAATTTTTAAAATCGCGACAAAATCTTTTTGTAGATTTTTTTTGTCGAGAATTTGCAGTTTCGGACAAATGTGAATTCGGTGTTTTAATAATCCTGTCAAATAAAAATTCGGACTGTTCTAAAAATTTAGTCAGAATTTTTATTTTATGGAATTTCATTTGTCATAATTATTTTTAAGTCGAATTTTTATTTGTTCGAAATTGCAAATTTCCGAACAAACAATCGACAGAAAGATTTCGGCGCAATTTTTAAAATCAACTAATCACAATTTTGTGGATAATTTTTTTTTTTTTTGATTGATTGATTTTAAAAATCGGACCGAAATCTTTCTGTCGATTGTTTGTTCGGACATTTGCAATTTCGGACAAATAAAAATTCTGTCAATTAGAAATTTTGTTAAATTATTTTTCGGTTAAATAAAAATTCTGTAGTATGAAATTAAATTATATGAAATAATAATTAGAACAAATGAAAATTCATCTGAATGAAAATTCTATGCAATGAAATTCTATCCAATAAAAATTCATTAAAATGCCTATTATGTTAAATGAAAATTCGAGCAAATAAAAATTCGGACAAATAAAAATTGGAATAAATAAAAATTCTGTGAAGTGAATTTTCGGTTATATAAAAATTCTGTAATATAGAAAATCGTTTTGATGAAAATTCTGCAAAATGCATATTCGAACAAATAAAAATTCGTCTCAAAAATAATTATGACAAATGAAATTCCATAAAATGAAAATTCTAATTAATGATTTTTAGAACATAATTATGCGTCTCTAAAATTTCAAGTCTCTTATTCATGTGTCTCATTAATGAAACTCTTCTTTTTCTCAAAAGTCAACTATTAATTTTACTTTCGTTTCTGTTTTTTAGCCAATATTACCGGTATGAGGAATAGAAGCATCCCCCGCAACTTTTGGTAGCAAAATATTTTCTGAAAGCACTGATTTTTCGAATAAATTAGAAAATCAGTGCCCAAAAAATGAAGAGAGGGACCAACAGAGAGAAAGAGAGAGGCGAATGAAGAAAGAGGGCAAGAGAATGGTCAGAACAACATCAGGGAATAAGGTGAAGCATATATTGGCAAGACAGAGAGATTGTGTAGTGGGATTGGTAAAGCTATCTGGATACCAAGTCGAAACTTTCAGTGACAGTAACCAAGAAGACATCATGACGCGATCATCTCCACCTTCAATTAGGTGCTGCTCTCTTGGTCTAGTCATTGCACTGTTCCTCGTCTTCGTTGCACGTGAGTGTTCGATTTTTTTTTTGTATTCAGTTTAACAAAAAAAAAAAAAAAAAAAAAATTTAATTTATCTCATCAAAACGCGATTGAATTTTTTTGGTGAAAATCTGGATCATTGTGTTTAAAAATGGTTGTTTAATAATCATAATAATTAGTGAAGGAAAAAAAATGGGGTGAAAAAAAAACATCGACGCCCATCGATTCTATGGATAATACATATATATATTTGTCATCAGCTTCTGAGTATAACAAAAATATCTATTTCCCTATTTTAATTTAAGAGAAAAAAAATTTTTTCTTTATTGACGAATTTTTTTTTTCCTTTAAAGCAATTTTTTTAAATTAAACATATTTTTTTAAATCAAACCTATTTTTTTAATTAAAACACATTTTTTTAATAAACAATATTTTTTTTAATTAAAACACATTTTTTTAATAAACAATATTTTTTTAATTAAAATACATTTTTCAATTGATACACATTGTTTGAAAGAGGTTTTTATTTAAAAGCGAATTTTTTTTTTTTAGAAAAAAAAACATTTTCAACAAAAAAAAAGTTTACCAATTTTTTTAATTAAAATACATTTTATAAGTTAAACATATTGTTTGAAAAATGTGTTTATCTAAAAATAACATTTTTGGGAAAGAACAGTTTTTCGTAAAAAGAAAGTCTCAATTGTAATTCAAAAAAATTAAAATCTCTTCTTTAAAAAAAAAAAATCATTTTTTTTTTAGAGAACAGAATTTTTGAAAAAACTTTCCTTTTAAATGAAGTTGAAGTTCACAACGTTTATGATCAACAATTTTTAAGGAAATATTATTTGAATGAAAAATTCTATGAATTTTCGTCTCAAAGATATCTTTTACAATGATAAAACAATTAAATTAAAAAAAATATTATTAAACAATATTAAAATAAATTAAAAAACATTATTTAGAAACGAAATTTTATAATTTTTTCATTTTTAAAAAATAATTTGTTTTTCTAATCGTCGATCATAAACGTTGTTGACTTCAGCATCGTAAGAGGTGTTTATCTAAAAAACAACTTTTTTAGAAATAAACATTTTTAAAAGTATATTTACTATTTAGTGTAGAAAATACTATTTAAAGAAATAAGATAAAAACTAAAATAAATAAAATTAATAAATATTTTTATATACCTATATATATATATATATATATGAAAAATATGGGAGATAAATTTTGCATTTTCTGGTTTCAGTTAAATGATCATGGGAATGTTTTTGATTAAATTTGAACAAAATTGAATTTGAATTTTTGAAGATTAATTATCATTATTTGCATTTGTTTAATAATGACTAATTCCCAATGAGACAATAACAATTTCAATTAGAAGGAAATTTGATTATTGGGAGTTAAATTCGACAGTGTGATTAAATTTAACTAGCAATTATTTCAATGTAGAGTAATTGTTCACGGTGAAATTATAAAAAAAAAAAAAAAAAATATAATTAGAAATTAGTAAATTACACTGTATAGAAATTTTATTTGTGTTAATCTATTTTTATTGAAAGAAAAAAAAACCAGTTTTATAAAATAATTGTATTTTTAAAAATTAATTATAATTACTCAATAATTTTCATTATTTTATTCTCGTCATATTTTGAAATAAACTAATTTTACCAAAAAAATGTAACATTAAATCGATAAAGATTAATAAATATTTTTCTAAAATATTCGATAGGGTATTGTCCGTATATATAAATAAATAAATAAAATAATATGATAATATATCTTCAAAAAAGAATCGAATCCATATTTTAGGATAAAATAAACATTTTCTCACGTATATTTATCAACTGAAAGTAACTTATGTAATTGCATATATATTTTCTGAATAATTAACATAGTTGATTAGGCAACTGAAAAAGAAATTCTCGTGCAATTATGATTAATAGTGTTATTATATGTAAATATAAATAAATAAATAATTAACTAAAGAATCGCACAAAGTTAATTTACGATGTTAAATGAATCTCTTTATAAAGTTTGAACTTTAGACTATTACATATGCCAATAACTTTTACCACAAGATCCGGTTTTACAGAAAATTTTATTCAAGAGGTTTTTTTTTTTCTTCTTCTTTCTTCCATTAAAAAGAAATATTTTCCATTATTATCACGGTAAAATATTGTTATGTTATTTTAACGGTCAATCAGAATTTTAATGTTTTTTTTTTTCAATCTCGATATATAAACGAGTTTAAAATTTTTTTTTCTTGCTCCCATTATTTATCCCGGACATACATATATAATACACAATTTTTTTTTATGGGTGAGAGAAAAAAAAAATAATTGATGATTTTAGAAGTAGGATTGGTAATATACTCTTAAATAAAAGTAATAAAAACGGACCAGGAGCCGTACAATTCCATGCACATATATACATACACGTTCATAAATGCATTCATTCACCTCGAGTAATGCTCGAGCTTCTTAACTGAGCGTTAAATCAGCGGCAAGATTCGCATTCAACCTTTACGGTCCGCTCGATACTCCTGGTAATGTGCAATTTTATCCGCATTCGTGTTGACGTTAGCAGCCACATTTCGATACTGATTTTAAATTCACGCCTTTATTTTGACATTTATTTTTTTTCTCTCTCCTTTTCTCGTTGTATTTTTGAAATTATAAAATAAAACTTCTGCCGAGGAAAAAAAAAAGTGGAAATTTAAGTGATGGAAAAATTAACCAATATTTTAAAATATAAATGTAAGGGAAATTAGTAAAAAAAAAAAGAAAGAAAAATTAGAAACGACTGGAAAAATTTTTTTTCCTTTTGTTTTTATTTTTAAGATCAAATTTTATTTTTGACTGGATCAACAAAACTTTTTGGTTTTTTTTTATATGATATTTTACTATTAATACAAAATTTAAAAATATGATTTCTTTCAATTTTTTCTGTAACAATAAAATATTCTTTAATTTATTATCCAAATTTTTTTTGGTATAACGAAAAAAAAATTTGATTTTTATATATATATATTAAATATTTTTTTATAAATAATTATGTCCGTATTAAATAAAAAATTTTTTATATATTAAAGATGTTAAACTCGAGTTGATCCAACAAAAATTTTCAGTTGTTTCATTTATAAAATTTTGTTACCTCACTTAAATTTGAAAATATTCAATTTCTTAGTAAAAAAAAATTTTTTTTTGACTTATTAACCAAATTTTTTTTGATGTAACAAAAATTGGATCAACAAAAATTTTTGTTTGTCTCATTTATAATATTTTGTTACCTCAACTAAAATTTGATAAAAGGATTTCTTTAAATTGTATCTGTATCAACAAAATTTGTTTTGACTTTGTAATCAAATTATTTCTTGTTCCAACGAAAAAAGTTTGGATTCACAAATATCTATAAAATATTTTGTTATAAATAATTATCTCCGTGTTAAATAAAAAAGATTTTTTTAAAATATTAACTCAGGGAAAATTTTATTAATTTGATTAAAAAAAATTTTTTTTTAAATTTATTTATTTATTTTTAGTCAATTTCAATTAAATTATAAATAATTTCACTTATATGAATAATAAATTTATATCAATATAAAAAAAAAATAAAAAACTTTTTTTAAAATATTAAAGATGTTAAACTCGGATTGGTCCAACAAAAATTTTTTGTTGTCTCATATTTGAAATTTTGTTACATCAACTAAAATTTTAAAATTTCTTTTTATCTGTAGCTACAAAATTTTTTTTTTTTTTGCTTATTAACCAAATTTTTCTTACAATAACAAAAAAATTTGGTTTCACAAATTTCTAGATCAAATATTTAGTTATAAATAATTATCTCTGCGTCAAATTGATGAACTTTATTAAAAAATATTAAAAATTTTAAACTCTGGGAAAATTTTACTAATTTGATCCAAAAAAAAATTTTATATTAAATAAATTATTTCCATTTTTCGACTAAAAAAATAAAACCTCAATTATCCAATTTTTGACTTATTATCCAAATTTTTCTTGGTCCAACAAAAAAAATTTGGTTTCACAAATATCTATCAATTATTTTATTATAAACATTTATCTCTAAGTATAGAAAACTTTTTAAAAAATATTAAACATCTTAAATTTAGGAAAAATTTCACTAATTCAATAAAAAAAAAATTCATTTATTTATTTATTTTAAAAAAATTATTTTTATATAATTTTTTCGACTAGAAAAATGTAACCTCAATTAACAAATTTTAATTGAATTTATAAATCGTTTCACTTATATATGAACAATAATGAGATTTATATCAATATGACTGAAAGAAAGAGAAAAAAAAAACATCAACACGTCCAGAATAAAAAAATTGTTTAACCCATGAAAAGTGAATGTCAAAAGCAAAGTGCAGTGTAAACACATGGTTATAAATTATATAAACTCGGCAACAAATTTCACTGCGTGTATACCTATATATATCTGTGGAGAGAGAAAAAAAAAAGTTGGTTGACGACTCTTTATCACTTTCAGGGGAGTGTGAAAGTGAACGAATGCGGGAAAATCGAAATTTTTCTATATATCTTCTTAATACTAAAACCAATTCCAACACACAGCCTCTCTCAATGTCAATATTGCCGGTCTGTTTCTCTGCACGATGAAATTTACTTTCGCGTAGAATATTTTAATTTTTTTTTCTCGTTCGCGCGTTACGGTGAATGATCAATTAAATTTCAATGGGTTCAAAAAAAAAAAAAAAAAAATATTCATTAACGCCGTGATTATGTTATAATTTTTCCGATCAAAAGGAAAAAAAAAGAATAAATAAAATAATAATAATAACAATTGAACCGAAAAATTCTTTGATGAACTCGATTGCATGGTCCATTGACAATGGCCGAGATATAATTTCTCCTCTCTTGAAGACTTTATTCGTCACTCTTGGACGATCCAAGCATATACCTATAGCGATCAAGAAGGAAGTAAGAGCGTGAAGGCGAATGATCATTAGGAATGAAAACACGATTCTTAAATAGTTTACAAGTACGCGGATTCCGTGCTGATTACTTGTTTTAATTAACCTCTATGTACACGCGAAAAAAAAGTGGATTAACGTTCGTAGTATACCTATATTTTTTGATTCAATTAATAACAAATTAATATTTAAATTTATCTCCCGTCACTTACAATTTAATATATGCGGCAAATTATTATTTTTATGAATTAATTTCTCATAATTAATGAACAATTAATTATAAAAAAAAATAATAATTTATAGCTCGTTAAATGTAATCAAATTACTATTTCTGGAAAATTATAAACCATTTGATAACAAAAATTAATAATTAAATAATAAAATTTTAATAAAATAATAATAATTAAACAAAAATAATGGAAATAAAAAAAATAATTTTTAGGGGTTCCGGATAATAATAATCACCCTGTATAATAATAATAATAATAATTAATTATTAAGTTTTATTTTTAATTTCAATTGTTTATTTGTTTAATATTTAATATTTATTTATTTTGTTATGTATAATTCTTTTTTTAAAATTTTTATCAAATATTTGATACGTGAATTTTAATTAATAAGAGTTTTAAAAATTTTATATATCTGACAATCTGACATGTGTATAAATTTCACAATCGTTGATTTCATATTAATTATTTAATATTTGTCATTTAGTTGTGAAATAATTTTTTTTTCTGCACCCCAAATAATGATTTCAAATACGCGCTCACAATTTCAATAAATTTAGTTCAACTTTTATCCTCGATTGAAATTAATTTAAAAATGAAGCCTTTTTCACGTTTTTATATGGATTCAATTGATGAAACTTTATTTTTAATATAATTATTATTTATTTCGATATATGAAAAAAATAATATCCAATTTCCATTGTATATCTTGTATATATTTATAAGTTTTACAAAGATTTTTATTTTTAAAATAGATTTCTATTTAGCCCAATTTTTATTTAAGAGAATTATAATTTATTCAGTTCTTATATTTAGTCTAATTTTCATTTAATATCATTTATATTAAAAAATTCAGGCTCTTATGATTTTTATGGGAATATTCTTAGTCCCTTGAGAAGAGGAATTAACTTTCCAAATTTTTAATCAGTAAAATTTTAGTAATGAATTATGTAATTGGAATTAGCAATTGGAGAATTTAAAAATTAAATTGTTTAAATTAATCAAAAAGTACAAAAAAAGTTTCTTTCAATTTCAATCCTGTTTCTAAAACCGTTTCCAGTAATTTCTATATATATTCTATCAAAATTTTGATAGAAAAACAATCCAAATTAATACACTATTTATCCGAAGATTGACCCTTTTTATCCCAATGATTTCAATAAAAATTTCTATCAAATTCAATCAAAAATTAATCCTTAAAAATTGTTTTCATTCCTGGGGGTCAATTACGTAACTTTTTCCGGATCCCACATTCGAAATTTCGTATTTCACATTCCGTATTTCGGATCCAACTTTCAAAATTCCCTATTCGGAATTCCACTTTTCCAATTCCGGATTCCATATTTGGTATTCCGGATACCACTCTCAAAATTCCAGATTCCACATTCCGGGTGCCACTTTCAAAATTACGTACTTCACATTCCGTATTCCGGATCCAACTTTCAAAATTCCATATTCGCTATTGCACATTCCGTATTTCACTTTCAAAATTCCATATTCCGGATTTCACATTCCAGATCTCATATTTCACATTCCGTATTCCGGATTTGATATTTTGGATTGCACTTTAAAAATGCCAGATTGGAAAAGTGAATGAATGTGAAAAGTGGGATCCGGAATGTGAAATCCGGAATACCGAATGTGAAAAGTGAAATCCTGAATACGGAATGTGAAATATGAGATCTGGAATGTGTAATCCGGAATGTGTAATCTCAGGGTGTCTAACGGTCAGGGAAAGTCAGGGAATTTCAGAAAATTTCATTCAAAGTCAGGGAAATTTCCGTAAATTTCTACAAAAATTAAAATTTTTTGTAAATTTAAAAATTTTTTAATCTAAAAATACTTGAATGGTTTTTATTACCATTTGTTACTACCATTAAAAATTAATTTATTGTTAAATATGTCAGGGAGAAGTCAGGGAATTTTTTTCTCAATCCTTGTTAAACATCCTGAATCTGAAATACGGAATTTTGAAAGTGGGATCATCCGGAATATGGAATTCGGAATACTAAATGTGAAAAATAGAATCTGGAATATGGAATGTGAACTGTGGAATCCAGAAATTTTGAAAGTGGGATCCGGAATTTGGATTTTTTATTTTTACAATTTTTTGATGTAAATTTTCATCAAATATTATAAATTTCAGTTTATGTGAATCTTAATGAAGTTGCTATAGATTCCAATTATTTAATCATTAAAATATTCACTGACAATTTAAATTTATTGTGAGAGAATTATTTTGAAGTCCAATTCTGTATTATCATATCGCTGCCCTTCTCACCAATCATAATAGTTGCAGCATTGGTATTGCCTCTTGGAACATTAGGCATAATAGAAGCATCGATTACCCTTAATCCATCAATTCCATAAACACGTAATTTCGCATCAACAACAGCTTCAGTGTCTTCTTTGGGTCCCATTTTACATGATCCAACAGTATGATATAATGTTTGTGTGTATTGTCTTGCAACACAATCCCAATATACGTCGCTATTAAATTCCAATTTATTGCATGGCTGTAATGGAGTTTTATCAAGTTCAAAACCATTTTCTTTCAATACTGTTGTATTAAACAATTTAAGAGACATTCGAACTCCTTCAATCATACGTTTCATGTCCATTTTATCGTCAAAATATCTTGGATTGATTATTGGATTTCCCCAAATGGGTTCCGTGTCATTGAGTCGAATGAAACCTCTACTACGTGGAGTTAGTAAAATTGGTCCCAATACAAATTTCTCATAATAAGTTAATACATCGCCAATAGCTAAAAATACCAATTGTATGTCGGGTGTACTTTCAGTTTGTTCGTAAGATGTTTGAAAAAATGCTGCAACACCAGCAACACCAATTGAAGCAAGTGGACCATTTTGTTTACTAAAATATTGATAGAGATCTTTTATTTTTCTCAAACAATTTGGTTTATTTGTTAAATTTTTGCCAACATTGCCAATTAATCCAACGAATGTCACATGATCGTGAAGATTGTGTCCAACGGATAAATTTTTTATAACATTGATTTGATGTTTTTCAAGTTGTTCACTGGGTCCTATTCCCGAGAGCATTAACAATTTTGGTGATTGAACAACGCCTGCTGATAGAATTACTTCTTTTTTTGCCATCACTTTTCTCGTTGGACCATGTATCGAATGTGCATATTCAACACCAATGGCTCGCTTGGACTTTGAATCAATTAAAACTTTTGTTACGTATACTTGAGTTTTGATGAATAAATTGGATCTATGGTTTCTTATTGGTCGAATGAAGGCACTATTTGTACTTGCACGTGATCCATTGTTTGATGTTGTTTGGATCATCATTGTTCCTAATTGATGTTTGGCATTAATATCCGTGGGTTTGTATCCAAGTTCTTGAAGGGCTTCGTAAAGAATTTTTGAATTTGGATCCACATAGGGAAATCTTTCAACTGATAAATATCCTTTCGTTCCATGATATTCTGGATTTTCATTTACAATCTAAAAAAAAGGAAATTTCTTCTTCTATCAAAATAAAATAAAAAGGAAGAAAATTTATAGAATTTATAGAAAGAAGTATAAAATTATTCCTGACAATATTTTGAAATAATGACTTACATCCGGATCTTTATTGTTTTCTGACTTTATAAAATAGGACAGTACGTCATCATAACTCCAACCAGGATTTCCCAATTTGGCCCATGTATTAAAGTCTTCTTTATTGCCTCTTACATATTGCATTATATTTATTGAACTTGATCCTCCCATTACCTGTTTATAAATTAATTGCTGTTATTGCAAATTTTTAAGAGAGGAATTTTTATTTTATTTCGTTATTTTTTGGATATTAAAATAATTTACTTTTCCACTTGGCCAAGCACATCCATTGCCTATTAAACAAGCATTTTCATCCTTTTGTGTGTGATAATTCCAGTCGATTTTTGATTTTTGAAGTTTTGTGGTATAACTAGGTACGCCAGTAATCAAAGGTTCTTCTTTGCCTTCTTCTAATAAAAGAACCTATTACAGAATTATTATGAATAATTATATAATAATAATAATTTAGTTTTATATGATTAATTCTCCAAAAAGGGGGCATTTTCGTTTTAATTTTTTCATTTTAAATTAATTATTATAATATTTCTATAGTGTAAATTAATATTTACTTTCCATTCACTATTTTCTGATAATCGATTTGCTACGACACATCCTGCAGATCCTGCACCAACAATAATAAAATCATATTCCTGTGGCTCACGATGAAATAGCTTTGGTAACTGAAAAACGCATTTACAAATTAAAACGTCTTTTATAGGTATAAAAAAATTAATTAATTAATTGATTAAGGAAGTTCTATTGCTTGACTGAACTAGTCAAAACAATAACCATTTTTTTCTGATTTGATTCACTTTGTAAATTAGAAAGTCTGGCAACACTGCTTTTATTATTATTATAGGATTACAAAATTGTAATATTAATACAATATAATAAATTAATAATTAAATATAATATTATATTATTCATAATTTATCTTATCTATATACTTTAATTATTTCAAGTATATTACAAAAAATGAAAAAAAAATTTATAAATTAATTAATATGAACTCTCACAGGTACCTATTGTCCTTTTTTAAATAGAATATCGGTTCATTACATATCTGTCTTTAACTATAAAAAATTTGATCAATATCTCTTTGTTTAATAATTTGTAGTACAAAAATATATATGTGACAAAGTAATGAATTCCCATAAGAATCAATGTTAAACAGTGAAAAAATAAAACGATTATAACTTTTTTTCTGAATAACCTACAGGTCTCAAAAATTTAACTACAAAATTTTAGAAGCATTATCTAGTACTACACCAAGTTTTATCAAAATCTGTTTGTTTATTCAATTATTATCCATAGAACCTCCTTAATAAATCACATTTTTTATTATTTTTATTTTATAATATAAATATTTAATATATTTAAAGATTTTTATTATTTTTAATTACTATATAATTATATTTTTAATTTATTCATTTTATTTAATTATTTATTTATTTCTCTTAAATTGACTTACCTTAAGATAATTATCGTCTGATGAATATCGAAATAAAAGTGATATTATAATTGTATTAAGTAAAGAGCACGGATTGAATAATTTAGATAAAAATGACAACATTATTATATGATGTTAAATCTAAAAAGAATATATATTTAAAAATAAATAAATATTTCAATTATTTAAATCAATTTGTATCAAAAAAAAAAACTAAAAGAATTTAATTTAAAATTAAATAAAAATTTTATCTACTCTCATCGATTAATTTTTTTTTTTTTAATGCAGTCAAAGTTTCTTTTTAATTTTCTATAAATTAATATATAATATATAATAATGATTATTATAATAAATAATAATTTGTAATTAAATAGTTTAAATTTATAAACGTAAAAAATTTCATAGAATTAATTTTTTTTAAAATAAATTTATTCAATTACTATGGATTAATATGTAATATATTGTTGTTTATAGAAGAAAATAATTTATTCTAATTAAATAATTATAAATTTCTGACTAATCCAAACTTGATGAAATACCTTTAAATCTGCATAAAACAAGCTAACAATTCAACTATTTGAAATAAAATATATACACATTTAGTATAACAATATATAATACGGATACATTGTCTGATAATTGTCAAAAGCTTATCAGTAGTTGTTAGCCTTTTGTTCGTTAACGTCATACATACAGTTATCATTTCCATTTATTTTAATAAAAGTCTAGTAGGAATCGGTTATTAATTATTATGCATAGATAATCATATAGTAAAAAGTCAAGTTTTATAATAGTAAAAAGAAATGATAATTTTTTTTTTAAATTTACAGGGAAAAAAAAAGTTGTAAAACCTACGCACAAGGGAGAAAATTATACTAATCTAATAGTAAAAAAAAATTTTAGCAAAAAAAAAATTTCTCTTCGTTTTTATACCCTAAAAAAAATTTATTTAATTTAAATAAACGGTTAACTTTTGATAAAAAAATATTTTTGAATTAAAATAAATTTGCTTTTCGTTTTATTAATACTTTCCCTTCTTTTTATAAATTTTTTCTAATATAATAATTTATTTTCAATTTAGTTTCATTATTGTCACACTCTCTATCTATCTATCTATCTCTCTATTTTATTTTATACAATTTAAGTTCAATTTTCTCTTTCCTAACAATTATCACGCATAGAAATTGTTAGATCTCCTACGCGAAGTAATTTCCTTTTATTCTATTGAATTTATTTCTTTCTCCACTGGCAATCTATTCTTTTTCAAAAAAAAGCCATTTTATAATCGACTGTGGCTCTATTTTCCGCCACTTTTTTCTACTTAATTCTATTTTGACCCCATCATACTTTACTGCATTTCATTTAGTCGTAAATCCGTTCTACTCTATTTCGCTTTTCCCCCTTTTTTATTTTTTTCCCATTATTTTTTTTTTTTTTTCAACTGTAATCAATTTTGATCGACTTCAAACTTCCTTTTATACAATTCTAATTGATCATTTCTAATTATTGCATTATAATGAAAAGAAGATCGAATTAACAGTGTGTAATGTCCTTTTATTTTATATATATAATTTACTGTTGTTTTTTCTCAAATTTTTTTTTTGCACTTGAGAAAAAGAACGTGTAAATTGAGTCTTTGTATAAAATCCTATTAGGAATAATTCTTCTATTTAGATTTATTATACTTTTTTCAAGGATAACAACTTTGCCTCTCATCTCAGATTGTTCCTGACAGATATATATATATATATATATATGCATTATGATCATTAAATAAAAATTGACCTGTTACTTTTACTTCACGAGATTGTATCCTTTTACTGATGTTCACTTCTCATTAAAAGAATAATCCACTTGAAAATATAATAATAATAATAAATATAATAATAGTTTAACCTCAATTTCTGATTTTCACATACGGAGATATTCATTTTCACGCTCGAAATATAGTGGAAAATCGGCTCGCAAATTTGTTGAAAAAAAATTTTTTTTTTCTCAATTCAATCAATGTTCTATGTAATTCTCACTTTCATAACAAAAGGGGAAAAAAGTTCAATCACATCAATTGTTTTCAAATTCGAAAATTGTTGGAGATCGTCGATTTTCATGCGAGAATTGTTTATGAAAAATTAAGAGAAAATTATTTTTAAACAAAAAAATTCTCTCTTTATATAAAAAACGAGACGCATGAATAAGCTCTAAAATTAATTAATTAGAATTTTCAATTGACAGCATTTCATAATAGAATTTTCTTTTAGCCGAATTTCTAGCATAATAACGAATTTTTATTTTTGATGAATTTTTATTTCATTGCATTTGAATTTGTCAAAATTATTATTTGCTCAAATTTTCATTAGACAAAATAGTCGATTTAAAAGAATTTTTATTTTACAGAAAAAATATTAGAAAGAATTCTTTTCTAGCTGAATTTTCATTTGTTGGAAGTTACGCATTTTTGACAAAATTCTTAAAACGACAAATTTTTATTTTACAGAATTTTCATTTGTCGGAATAAATATCTCTGACAGAGAAAATTTACAAAAATATGATTTTTGGTAAACTTTTCAAAAAAAAAAAAAAAAAAACTTAAGTTATACCCCCAAAAAAAAGCTTTCAAGGGAATAAAATTTCGCTTTAAAATTAAAATGCCTAAAAAATTCTATTGGTCACTTTATCAAAAGTTATTAATTTTTTAAAAACCAAAAATTTCAAAGAACATGATTTTTTTGGTTTATAAATTTTTGTGTAATTTTTAAAATATCATAACTAGCTTATAGAATATTTAAAAATGCATTTATTGACATTTATTTATGTGAACCTTTTACAAATCTATTAAATATTACTGGAGTGACTTTTTCTACATTTTGAAATATTAATCTTCGTGATATTTTTTTTATTTCAATGACAAAAAATCGATAGAAAGATTTCGGCACGAATTTTAAAATTAACCAATCAAAAATATATAAAAATATAATCATAAATATTATTATTATTATTATTATTATTATTATTAACAATTATTATTATTGGAGCAAATAAAAATTCGAACAAATGAAAATTTGGTGAAATGAAAATTCTGTCATTTGCAAATTTGAATCACTTCGATTTTTGTAGAATAAAAATTCTGCTAAATTAACATTCGTTTAAAATAGAATTTTTTAAATAAATTACAAACGGATTTTGACTGTATACTTGAATAAATAAATAATTAAGTAATTAAATAAATAAAAAAAAGTATGGGTAAAGAGAAATTATATGTACTTACAATAAAAATTTTGACAAATAAAAATTCGATACTTAAAAATTTTTTTAAGTAAGTAATTAAAATTCGTTTAAGGCCAGGTCCAAGTGAGGCAGCGCCATCTACATTGAAACTAAAATTTTGGAAAATTTTCAACAGCCTTTTCTTGAAAACAAGAAGGTAAAATGCTTTTTCCTTTATGGATAATTGATTATTGGCAAGATATACACCAGCTAAAACTTTTTTTGAGTTAAAATAATAAACAAAATTTCATGTCAATAAATTAAATATGAGCACTTTTTTCACAAAAACTGTAAAAGTACTTTTTTAGAAATTACAATCAAAAATGCAATTTCCATTTGGAAAATTAATAAACGCTAAAAAATACACGACCTAAGATTTACCAATCACGAAAATAACAAAAAAAAATTTTATTAAATATTTAACATATTGATACTGCTTTACTGATTGTGACAGCCCTTTGGTAGATTATGTATTTCAGGTGGTTAGCAACAGCGCCAATCTCCTCCTTTCGGCAAAACTGCGAAACGTCTGGTGACATATATAACCTGCCAAACGGCTGTCATAATGAGTAAAATATGTTATGTTAACATACTTTTTTTTGTTATTTTCGTGATCGGTAAATCTTAGGTCGTGTATTTTTTAGCGTTTATTAATTTTCCAAATGGAAATTACATTTTTGGTTGTAATTTCTGAGAAAGTTCTGTTACAGTTTTTGTGAAAAAAGTGCTCATATTTAATTTATTGACATGAAATTTTTTTTATTATTTTAACTCAAAAAAAGTTTTAGCTGGTGTATATCTTGCCAATAATCAATTATCCATAAAGGAAAAAGCATTTTACCTTCTTGTTTTCAAGAAAAGGCTGTTGAACATTTTCCAAAATTTTAGTTTCAATGTAGATGGCGCTGCCTCACTTGGACCTGGCCTTAAAAAATATGGATAGGCCCTAACATAACCTCAAAAGTGAAAAATAGTTTTTAACGCAGAAAGAACTTAAAATCTTTTATTGAATAATTTTTTTTTTTAACATTTTGACTTTATTTTTTCATAACAGACAAAAATTGCAATTTTTATTCAATTTTTATTAACAATAACTTATGTTACTCGCAGGTGATACAAAAATCGTAAAAAAAAATTTCATTTGCTAAAAATTTGTTAAAAAACTAATTTAATAAATAAAAATTTGTATTGTTTAACAATTTTTTAACAAAATACTTTTAATAACAACTAAAAAAAATGTTAATTCGAAAAATGATAATTCGTCTAAAAAATAGGTAATAAATTCTAATAAAATTCTTTAAAATTAAAATTCAAACCAATCTTGTTGCTTTTTTGGGACACATTATTATCTCATAAAAATCATTAGTTAGAATTTTGATTTGAAAGAATTTTATTAGATATAATTATTTTTTAGACGAATTTTCATTTTTCGAATTAGAATTTGACACAATTTCTCTTTTAAACAAATTTTTATTGTACCGAATTCTTAATAGGCCGAATTTTTATTTGTCCGAAATTACAAATGGCCGAGCAAACAATCAACAGAAAGATTTCGGCGCGTTTTTTAAAATTGACGAATCACGATTTCCTTGACAATTTCTGATTGGTCAATTTTAAAAAACGCGCCGAAATCTTTCTGTTGATTGTTTGTTCGGCCATTTGTAATTTCGGACAAATAATAATTCGTCCTTTTAAGAATTCGGTACAATAAAAATTTGTTTAAAAGAGAAATTGTGTCAAATTCTAATTCGAAAAATGAAAATTCGTCTAAAAAATAATTATATCTAATAAAATTCTTTCAAATCAAAATTCTAACGATTTTTATGGGATAATAATGCGTCCCACTTTTTTTGTTCAAATAAACTAAAAATTTCTAAAAATCTTAATTTGAAAAATTTGTATTTATATTATATTAAATAATTTTGTATATAATATTATATATTGTTTTTCATTTTAATTTCAACGTTGATTTAATAATGACCTATATATATATATATATCCCTTCATTAAAGCTGCCGTATAATTCATGGCATGATTTGCTTGGAGGTGAAATTTCGATATTATATATAGGATGATGTTTAATCGTGTAGCAATCAATTCGTTCAAGTCGATAACCACAGATTAACGATCTATTTGGGAATTTTCTAATGATCTTAACGAATCTGCGCGCGAAACGAATTGGAAAATCCCACTGACCACGACTTTGCTTAATTCGAATTTGGTACACCCTTAGTGACTCTGGTGCCACACATCTCCTCTGTTACCGGACGCTTTGTCAGCACGATATCGAGTAGAGCTAGAAACGAGAGACGGATTGTCCTATTCCCTCGCGTTAATTGGGTTTCTGAGCAAATAGCAT